CCGCCACCGGGTTCCCAAGCTTCGTTGTTGCTCCCGCGCCTCGCTCAGCCAGTGAGCGGGAGCCGGTCTGTATGTGGGATCCGAACCCTAGGACGGGAGCGCCACCACGCTTCCCAAGCAGCGCACTATCCAGTGCGCCAGCGGGCCGGCCCTTTCCATGACTTTTTTGTTCAGTCCTTGCAACAAGCCCTGAGGCAGGGGCCCCCTTATCCTAAACAAGTCAGTGACTGGAGAGCCAGGCTCTGTGCAGTGCCTACCTGCCCCCATCTCCCTGCCACCCCCAGCCCCTGGCAGACAGTCCCCATCACAGCCAGGATTTCCCTCTGGTCCAGGGGTCTGTCTTGGAGATCAGTTCAGGAAGGGTCCTGTCCCACTAGGCCCCCTTCCCTCCCCATCAGGACATGCCCCCCCCCCCAGCTGCATGGAATGAATGAGTGGGTCACTGTCCTATGGCAGAATACAAATGTCAGTCTGGCTCTGCTTATGAGGAGCACAGGGCCATGTGACACAGGGCAGGCCAGGTGCAGGAGAGGTGACACCTCCATGTCGGGTTAGGGAAGGGGCTTGCAGCAAGAGCAAAGGCCCCTGAAGAGAGGGCTCAGAACTCAGTCACAGACAAGTCCCGGTGGGTGGAGGGCAGAGAGAGCATGAGACAGTCAGGCAGCAGGTGCCCTATCGAGAAGGGTCTTTGAGTCCTGCCAGGAATCAGACTTGATCCTGAGGATAAGGGAGAACTTACAGCTGCAGGAAGATGCCCTGCTGTGTGTTTAGGAGCCCTGCCACTGGAGCCTGGTCTGGGGAGCTGGAGGGGTCCCTGCCCCAGCGTGGTGTGCATCACAGGCTCTGTAGCCACAGATGTGCCTGCCCCCCTCTCCGCCCCTCCCTGGTCGCTGCCTGGCACTCAGGAGATCGTCAGAGGTCCTTCTGAGTGAATGAAGGACACTGGGTTGGCAGAGAGAGGAAAGGGTAGTCTGTGGTCCCAGTCGTACAGAGCTTCCTTTTGGGGTGTCTGTTGAGCTCACAGGGACTTCAGCCGCCCCTCACTCACAGTGACGGCCTCTGCTCTTGTGCTGGTTTCTGACACCTAAAACCAGACGTGGAAATTAGAACAAACCCATACACGTTTGGAAAGCAGATTCAACTGCTTTCTGGCAGAAATCCTTTCCCCCAAGACCCTGCCAGGCTCACCAGTGAAACCTCTTCCCTCCCCACCACCCTGCATCATTTGTCCCCTGCCTTTCCTCAGTGAGGCCACAGAAGGGACCCGGGAGCAGCTGCAGTCCAGTAGGGTGATTTGGGGGGACAGGGGTCAGGGAGGGAGACGCCCATGCTAGTGAGAAAGGGCATTGCTCTGGGTTGTCGGGAAAAGAGAGTTATTTTAAAAATCACAGAACCCATCACATGCCAAGCAAGTCCACACAAGCACTGGGTGCCGCCCCGGTGGACACCTCTGTGCTAGGACAGCACCGTCCCACTCTAAAGACAAGGAACCCGAAGTCCAGAGGTAACATGAAAAACAATCATATGTTTTTATCTGATTATAACAGTAACCGTGAGTTAATTGAAGAATATTTGCCTATCACCATTAAATCTTATTTCAATATTTACATATTAACATTTAAAATTCAATCTCTTAGTGACTTCAATTAATTTGGCTGATTCTAATCATTTTTTTCTAATTTGTTTATCACTTAACTTTTTAGTGTTTTTACCTTTTATCTTTTTTAACTTTATCTTTTGGCTAAATACTCAGAAGTTTCTTTTATTGTTACTCCTCACGCCCTTCCTTCCCGAGAACAATCACTATTGATTTTTCTCTTGCAGGTGCCGTGTGCGGGCAGCTGATGGTCAGTCTAAGGAACTTACTCTCGTAAAACCACAGCCAGTGAGTTCTCAAAGACTCAGTAATGCACCTTAATTATTATTTTAAAAGCTTTTGTCTTGTGAAATACAATAGACCTACAGGAAGAAATCATAAAATATACATGTAATATCTCAATGACTCATGAGTGTCTGTACACCTGCCACCCAGGAAACAGAATATTGCAGGACCTGAGTACAAGACTGTACCCAGCTACCGCCTCTCTCTGCCAGAGGTCTGCTGACTTCATATGAAATCTCTTCTTTGCAATTATTTATACTTCTATCACCCTGCCGTGCATCCCTAACCATTATAATTTGGTTTTGCCTGTGTTTTGAACTGATACAAAGAGAATCAAAGAGCGTGATTCTTACATGTCTGGCTCCTTTCACTCAACTTTAAGTCTGAAATGTATCCATGTTGTTGTATGTAACTGTAGTCACTCATCACTGGGTATTCATCCATTGTGTGAATGTGCCACAACTTATGTATCCATTTTGCTGATGAGGAATATCTGGTTGTTTCTAGTTTGAGAATATTATGAATAAATTGTGAGCCTTTTTATCTGTGTGCCCTGATGCGCTTGGCATGCATTTGGGAGGGGGTGTAGTTAAGAGTGAAATTGCTGGGTCATGAGTAATAGCTACCTCAGCTTTCTGTGCCCTTTTGTATTGAGACACAACTTATGTACAGTGACGGTCACTAATATTAAGTGTGCAATTCAGTGATTTTACACAACTGTAAACATCAGTATGTCACCGCCACTGTCATGGTGCAAGACTGTTCCTGCTTCCTCCAAAGTTCCCCTTTCAGTGTCCTCTCTCTCCATGTTAATCTGCTTCCCGTCACTATAGTCTAGTACAGAATTTCATGCACTAGGACTCACACGCTGTGTAGTCTTTTATGCCTGGCTTCTTTCTCTTGACGTGATGTTTTGCTGCATGAATCAATGGATCATTTGTTTTTATTGCTGAGTAGAATTCCACCGAAATTTGTTTATCCATCCACAAACTGATGGACAATTGGGGTAATTATGCATAAAGCTGCTGTTGACATTCAAGTACAAGTTTTACATGAACGTCTGTTTTCACTTCTCCTGGGTATATGCAGGTTAGGCATCCCTAACCCAAAAATCCAAACTTTGAAATGCCCCAAAACTTTTGAGCGCCAACATGACACAACAGAGGAAAATTTCACACCTGAGCTCACGTGACAGATCATGTGTTTCATGCACAAAATTATTTAAAATGTTGTAAGAATTACCTTCAGATGATGTGTACAAGGTGTATATGAAACGTAAATAAATTTTGTGTTTAGACTTGGGTCCCACCCCCAAGATACCTCATTGTGTATATACAAATACTTCAAAATCCAAAAAAATCCAAAATCTGAAACGCTCCTGGTACCAAGCATTTCAGATAAGGGATACTGAACCTGCACTTAGGAAAGGTATTGCTGGACTGTGCTCACGTGGTAAGTTTACATTTAACTTTAAAGAAACTGACAGGCTGTTTTCCAGAGTGGCCGTGCCGTTTTGCATCCCACCTGCCGATGCATGAGGGTTCCCGGGCTCCATGTTCTCACCAACCCTCGTGTCTGTGTCGTGTGCCTTGTTAACGACGTTAACCACTGCGGTGAGTTTACGGAGCTGTCTCACTGTGCTCTTAACTTGCGTTACCCTGAGAGCTAATGATGTGGAGCCATTCATGTATCTTCTTTAGTAAAGGATCTTTTCAAATCTTTTGCTGATTTTCAAAAATTGAGGAGTGGTAGGAGCCCTTGATACTTGTACCTTCTGATACAAGCTCTCTACCAGGTGAATGTTTTGCAGGTGTTTTCTCCCAGCCTTTGACTTGCTTTTTCATCTTCTTACCAGTATCTATTTTTTTCATCAGTCCAACTCATTTTATTTTATTTATGGCAGGGGGCAGGGGAGTGAAGAGGATTTTCCTACAACAAGGCTTCTGCTTGGAGAGGCAGATGAGTCTGGACCTTTTATGCCCCCTCCTGGGGGCGGTCAGGGAGGATGCCCAGCACCACCGGCAGTGGCCCATCCAAGGCAAGGCTGCAAGCCACCCCACCCCCTCTGAGACATATCACAGAAACTTGGTGCCCCACCTCCGTACCCCATGCCGGTCCTGCAGATCCTGTGACATTTGTCTTTCTGAGAAATGTTTACTCAGCTTTTACTGTGACTTACTTGCAAGCAATTGTTAACGTTGGCATTTTTTAAATTGTGAAACATGTAACATAAGGATTGCCATTTAAGTATTATTAAACATACAGTTGCATTTAATTAATTACACTCACAGTGCTGTGTGACTACGACGTCTGCACCTGTAGTGTGGTTGCCACTCCACACACAGACTCTGCACCCGCGGAACAATAGCTTCTCCCCATTTCCCCCGCCCCCCAATTCCCATTAACCACTAATCTCCTTCTGACTCTGAAATTTTTTCTTTTTCATTTTCTTAATCCATCCAGATAATTGTATATATTTATGGAGTCCTATCTGCTATTTGGGTACACTTATACCAATGTGCAATGATCATATCAGGGTATTTAGCATTTTCATCACCTCAGACATTTGTCACCCCCTACTGTTGGGAACATTCTACATCCTCTCAACCAGCTACTTGAAGTTATACAGTAAATTGCTGTTGACTGTGGTCTCCCTTTATTCCTATAGAACACTTGATCTTGTTCTTCCTATCTCTACAAGCTTGTATTCACTGACCACACTCTCCCCATCTCCCCTCTCCTTACCAGCCTTCAGTACCCACTATTCTACTCTCTACTTCTATGAGATCAACTTTTTTAGCTTCCACATAAGAGTGAGAATGTGGTATTTCTCTTTCAGTGTCTGGCTTATTTCACTTAACATAATTTTCTCCAAGCTCATCTGTGTTGCTGCAAGTGGCAAAATTCAGTCTTTTTTATGGCCGAGTAGTATTCCATTGCGTATATCTATACCACATTTTCTTTATCCAGTCATCCACTGATGGACATTTAGGTTGGTTCCAAATTTTGGCTGTTGGGAATACAGCTGTGATAAACATGGGGGTACGAGTATCTCTTCAACTGGTTGATTTCCTGTCCTTTAGAAATATACCTAGTAGTGGGATTGCTGGATCATATGGTACTTCTATTTGTAAATTTTTTAGAAACCTCCATACTGTTTTCCATAAAGGCTGTTCTAATTTACATTCCCACCAACAATGTATAAGTTTTCCCCTTTCTCTGCATCCTCACCAGCATTTGCTATTTTTTGTCTTTTTGATAATGACCAGTCTCACTGGTGAGATGATACTCATTGTGGTTTGGATTTGCATTTCTCTGATGGTTCGTGGGCATTGAGCATTTTCTCATGTACCTGTTGACCACTTCTATGTCTTCTTTTGAGAAATGTCTATCCGGCTCATTTGCCCACTTTTTTTTAAAAATTTTATTTTGTCGATATACAATGTGGTTGATTATTGTGGCCCGTCACCGAATCCTCCCTCCCTCCTCCCTCTCCCCCCTCCCACCCAACAATGTCCTTTCTGTTTGCTTGTCGTATCAACTTCAAGGAACTGTAGTTGTTATGTCTTCTCCCCCCCCCCCCGGGTTTTGTGCGTGTGTGTGTGTGTGTGTGTGTGT